CATGGTAGGCCTACAGCCCCTCCCCTTGGCCTGCCCTACCCTTGATCACCCCCCACACTGCACACCAATAGGGGGCAGGGCTGGCTGGCCCACCTCTGGCAGCGCCTCCCCCTAGACGGCCCCACCCCTATGGGCCCCCACCATCCTAATCAGCCTTGTCCTTGACTTTAGGGGAAAAACTTTCATCCTTTCACCACTTAGTATATTAGCTGTGGGTTCTTCCCAGGTGATCCTGTTCTCACGTTGAGGTTGTTACATTCTAGTCTTTTTAAATCCTCACCAGAGGATATCTGTGGATTTTGTTTGACAGAGAGAAAAAGAAACGCCAGTTAATTGCCTCCTGTTATGTGCCCCGTATAGAAACTGCAACCTAGGTATGTGCCCTGACGGAGAATTGGACCCACAAGCTTTTGTTTACAGGACAATGCTCCAACTGAGGCACCCAGGCAGGGTTTCATTCTAATATATATATATATTCATATTTATATTTTATATATATATATAAATTTCAGAGAGGAAGGGGATTGAGCCTGCAAGCCTGGGCATGTGCCCTTAACTAGATTTGAACCGGGACCCTTCAGTCTGCAGGCTGACGGCCTGTCCACTGAGCCAAACCAGCCAGGGCCATTTTATTCTTTTTGTGTTGAATGTTTCCATCATAAGATATTGTATTTTGTTATATGCTTTTTCTGCATCCAGATGTTTTTAAATTCTATTAATGGGTATCCATTTTATTAATATCTAATAAAATGTTTCAGTTAGAACCAGAGAAGGGAACAAGAGAAAGACCAAAAAAAAAAAACACTAAAAATGGGGGAATGAAAAATATCTCAATGCATCTCTATTAATCGCTTTAAATATCAATGATATACTAATTAATCAACAGAATGAGAGGACAAGCCAAAAACTGGGAAAAATATTTGCAAAAGACTTATCTGATAAAGAAATGTCATCCAAAATATAAAAAGAACTCTTAAAACTTAATAAGCCTGGCTGAATAGCTCAGTTAGTTAGAGCATCATCCAGATATGACAAGGTTTTGGGTTTGACCCTTGGTCAGGGCACATATAATAATCAACCAATGAATGCATAAATGAGAGTAACAATGAACTCATGTTTTTATTTCTCTTCCTTCCTCTCTCTCTCAAAGCAAACAAATAAAATTTTTTAAAAAATGTATTATAAAATATTACTAACCTTCAAAAATAAAAAATAAAAAATGAATAGCCAGCTTAAAAGCAAATGGCAAAAGACCTGATCTGACACTTCACCAAAAATATACAGATGACAAAGCATATTAAAAGCTGGTCCACATAATATGTAATTAGGAAACTGCAAATTACAACAATGAGATATCATTCCACACTTACTAGAATGGCTAAAATCCAAATCACTGAACTCTAATTCATCATTGGTGGGAATTCAGAATGGTACAGCTACTTTGGAAGAAAGTTCGGCAGTTTCTCATAAAGCTAAACCCTCTTAACATAAGATCCAAAAATCATGCTCCTCCAAATAAGTTGAAAATGTATGTCCACAAAAACTTGAACACAAATGCTTACAACAGTTTTATTCATAATTGCCAAAATTTGGAAGCAACCAAGATGACCTTCAATGTGTGAATGGATAAATTATGGGACACCCAGACAATTGAATATTTAGTGCCAAAAAGGAGTGGGCTACCAAGCTGTGAAAAGACATGGAGGAACCTTAAATGCACATTGCTGTGAAAGAAGTGACTATGAAAAGGCTACGATTCCAATTGTATGACATTTTGGAAAAGACAAAGCTATGGATACAGTAAAAATATCAGGGGGTCAGGGATTGGGAACAGAGAATGTCAAATAGGAGCACAGAATGTTAGGGCAGTGAAACTATTTTTGTATGATTCTATAATAGTGGATACATCTCTATACATTTGTCAAAACTCATAGAGTGTGAAAGAGTGAACCCTAATGTCAACTACGGGCTTTCAGAGATAATGATGGGTCAATGTAAGTTCAACAAATTTACCATTTTGGTGTAGGGTGTTGATAGTAGGGGAAATGGGGGGGGATGGGAGACAGAATTTGGGAACTCTTACGTTCTGCTCAATTTTTCCAAAAGCCTTAAAGCTGCTTTAAAAATCTATTAATTACAACAAAACCATATTCTACATAGCTGAACACCTGAAGCAGCAGTGACAAACCTCCAATATAGAATTTAACATTCACATCTGTACTCAAGGTATCAGGAATGCTGAGGGTGTCCAGGGCAGAGCACAGCCATCAGTGGGACACAAGTTAATTTAGTTGTGGGCTCTCCACCATTTCTTCTGTGTTGAGAATGTTCAAACCAGGTTACTTTTTCTCTTCCTCATTTTAACTAATTTCTCCACCATCTTTTTATTCCTAGAAAACAAGTGAGAAAAGAATTTTTAAAAACTTAGACTAAGATAACCATTCCATACCAACCCCTTGGAAATGAGCAATAAAATAAGGAATCTACTTCTGGAGTTCCTAAGTAGTTAGCACCCGCACCCTCACCTAAGAATGGTGAGTGAAAGAATTCTACGTCTTAAACAAAGAATCAAGATTGTCCACTTAATATCAAGCCTCACATTCTATATACTACAATTGGTTCCACTTCCTTTATACTGTTCCTTCCCTTCCCACAGTTTCTCCCACATCCCCTCTCTGTTCACACATGCTCATGATTTTCCCATTAAAAAATACAAGGAAAAAAGAAGGGAGGGAGAAAGAAAGGAAGGAATGCAGGAAGAAAGGCAGGAAGCACCCTTGATCTTATTATTTCAGCTGCCATCTCCTTCTCACTCTGGTGGTACAGATTGCCAGTATGTTCTGCCATAGTCCTTCACATGCCCTAACTTGTCACTATCACATTTCTGCATATACTGATCCTCTCAACCTACTCTCAAAAAAGGCACCAGTTATGTCCTAAACTGACATTCTTAACAGCACTACAGCTGTGGCCTGTGTGGCACAGTTGGTTGGAGTGTTGTCCCAACATACCTCAGTTGCAGTTCAATGCTAGGTCTGGGAATGTGCAAGAGGCAACTGATCAATGTTTCTCTCTCTCTCTTCCTCTCCTTTCTTCTAACATCAATTAAAAAAAAAAAAAAAAAAAGAATAACCAGCACTGCATTATTCATAATCTTACATGGACATCTCACTGCCAACCATGTTCTTCAGAAACTCTGCCCATTGCTTCTTTATCTTACTTGTTTCCCAACCTATAACTGCACTTTTAGTCTCCATTGTTCACCTGCCACTGACTCTCTTTAGGTTCTTTCCTATGTCCCTTTTATTCCCTACATACTCTTATGTACAATTTAAATGCTAATGACTCCCAAAAATGTTTCTCTATAAACCCATTCTTATCTCAGACATCTAGGCCCATGTCAAGCATGTCTCACATGTCATATTCTTCACCACTGAACTGGGGACACTTCTGCCTTTCCTCTATCTAATAAGATTGCACTCTTCCTTTTACTCTTTTATCTCTTAAATTTGTCCCATTCCTCTTTAAACTTTTTGCCAAGTTTATAAATTATATCTTTTCAGAATTATAGTAATCTCTTACTTAACCTCCAACCTAGTTTTTGTTGCAAGATTACAATCCACGTCCTTAAAAAAGCCTTAGCTTCCCCCAACACCTACCTCACATCACCTCCACCCAAACCCATCACCAAAAGCTGTTATTAATGGGTGAACATTAAGAGTTCTATAGTCTAAAAAAATAAACAAAAAAAGAGTTCCATAGTCTATAGAAAATCTAAACCAGTGCTTGTGTATGCCCAATGCATATTTTCCTGAACAGTGGTATATAGCTATTATTATATTCTCAAGGGAGTCTATGTCCCAAAAGTGACTGAGAAATTATGACTCACCAGGTAATATATGAGGCCATCATTATAGAAAGAAACCCATGAGTGATCTACCCCTCTCTTTCTAGACTTATTTGTCAATATAGCTTCAATCATATTGACCTATCTGCTATTTTTAAGTATGTCATGTTCTTTTATTTTCAGGTATTTGTATGAGCTGTTTCCACTACCAAATGCCCAAATTATTATTTTCTAACTGATAAGACTTCCTCAGTGCACGTAATCCTTTCTGAAATTTCCCTAAGCTACTCCATTTATTTCACAGTATCTCTCTTTTTTTTAATTTAAATTCTTTATTGTTTAAAGTATTACATAAGTCTCCCCCCCCCCCATGCTACATGGATTTTGCCTTAATAGTTTTCTTAACTCCAGCTAAATATCGGACATAACAACTTTGTTTCTTAAAACAGATCTCTAGCCCTAGCCGGTTTGGCTCAGTGGATAGAGTATCGGCCTGTGGACTGAACGGTCCCCGGGTCGATTCCGGCCAAGGGCATGTACCTTGGCTGCAGGCACATTCCCAGTGAGGAGTGTGCAGGAGGCAGCCGATCGATGTTTCTCTCTCATCGATGTTTCTAACTCTCTATCCCTCTCCTTTCCTCTCTGTAAAAAAAATCAATAAAATATATTTTTAAAAAAACCAAAACAAAACAAAAAAATAAAACAGATCACTAAACTTGAGAAAATTAATATTTTAACTTGTCACATACTTTAAGATTGCTAAGACGCACATACTTATCTGAATTCTAATCCACTATCAAGTTCTTTTTCCTTCCTATGTTTGCCTGATCTATACGGCAAATTAAGAAAACAGTATGTTTGACCATTTGCTTCCTCCTACCATCTAGACATACAGAAAACATATTTAAGGGTTACCTCTTAACACAGTCAGGGCATAACATGTTATCTTCTAGGTCTGGGGATGGGAAAGTACAGGCCGGTAAAAGTAAGAGAGAAATCATCTTCGTGGGAGTGTCAGGCACCCAGGTCTGACCTGCGTGGAACTGCAGGCGAACCCAACCCTTTTTGTCTGCCAAGAGATGTCGGCCATGGACCACACACCACCTGACACCTGGGGAGGAAAGAGAAGCAGATATAAACAGTGAAGAGCAAGAAATTGCGCCCCAATCCAACCTCTCAGCAACTCACTCTTGACTTGGCTCTTATTTTCTGCTGATGGAGTGATTGAATGAGAAGCATGAAAAATGTAGACCAGAAGACATTATACTCTAACTTCACAGATTATATAGCATGAGGGATAACAATTACCTTTTTAAATGCTTGCTAAATGGTTTATATGTATTCATAAATTTATTAAGAACATTTATATTTACCTTCCATTCACTTTTCTTATTTAAAAATGAAGTAACTGAAGCTTGCAGTGTTAAATATTATAATTTTCTCAGAACCAAGCTATGGATCCAGGTATTGATTCACAACCCATTTGTCTAACTCAGTGGTTCTCAACCTTCCTAATGCCGTGACCCTTTAATACCGTTCCTCATGTTGTGGTGACCCCCAAACATAAAATTATGTTCGTTGCTACTTCATAACTGTAATTTTGCTACTGTTATGAATTGTAATGTAATATCTGATATGCAGGATGTATTTTCACTGTTACAAATTGAACATAATTAAAGCATAGTGATTAACCACAAAAACAATATGTAATTATATATGTGTTTTCCGATGGTCTTAGGCGACCCCTGTGAAAGGGTCGTTCGACCCCCAAAGGGTTCGCGACCCACAGGTTGAGAACCACTGGTCTAACTACTACATTGTATTGCTTTAAATATAAAAAACAGGCAAAATGATCTTTGTTGAAAGGCCAAGGAACAATCTAATTGGGGAGAGGGATATTTAAGACAAAACAAGGTAAGATATCGAGTGTTTGAAATTGAGAAAGAAGCAGTCACCGTGAGCTCAAATATTCATAAAAACTCCCATCAGACTGTAAAACAATAAAGATTATGTTTAGCACTATATACCCGGTGATTAGACACACTCTTGGATCACAGTAGATGCTTAATAACTGCTAAATAGAGAGGTACTAATGCCCTAGCTGGTTTGGCTCAGTGGATAGAGCATCACCCTGCAGACTGAAAGGTCCCACGTTCAATTCCGGTCAGGGGTACATGCCTAGGTTGCGGGCCTGATCTCCAGTATGGGGCAGGCAGGAGGCAGCCGATCAACGATTCTCTCTCATCATTGATGTTTCTGTCTCTCCCTCTTTTTTCTCTCTGAAATCAATAAAAATACTAAAAGGATGAATAAGTGTGGAATGCTACTAGGTCATATGGCACATTCATGAAAATTAGAAAGAGGTGTTGCTGCTGGGTAAGCAGTTCTTCAGAGACAGCTATGTAAGTGGACAGTGCTTTTGGAAATTGGCAAAACAGTGCCCATTCCTTTTCATAGGAGGGAGTGCTACTTGGAGAGCCAACAGTAGGCCAATTTCAGCTTCTGTCTGTCTTCCTTTTGGCTGGGTTCCTTGCGTAATGAACAACGTGCCTTACAAGTCAGCCCTGGGTAAAAGAGGAGCTAGAATACTTTTTGAAATGATGTGGAGAGGAAAAGAACTCAACCAAAAAGAACGAGGACTTTTGGCTGACCTGAGCTAGGGTCGCTAGAGATGAAAACGAGGAGTTGGAGGAAGACAAGGCTAAGTTATTCTCAAGATTTCTTAAGAGGACAGGGGCCCCAAACATTTTATTATTGCCTGCTTTTTAATGTGCCAAGTTGTATCTCATAAGTCTCACAATCATTCTATGAAATACAATAGTTGTAATCTTCATTTAATAAAACAGGATACCAGGGTTTATGCTCACTAACTTGCCAATGCGACAAACCAAGGAAGTCATAAAACAAGAATCTGGCCTGGGTGCTCTCCCTCCTGGAAGCACACCTGTGCCCTTTTCTTTCCCTTTCTCTTCCTCAGCACCTCCGGTCATATTAGCATTAGCTTCCTCACGCCCAAACTCCAAGGGTCCTTCCTTTACCTCTATAACTTGTTTCCAAAGCCCAATTCTTCTAGAAATTACTTTTTCTACCTCTGTAATTTACCCAATAGTTGTTCTCTTACAAAAACAAAAAAGAACCTGATCCAGCTGGCATAGCTCAGTGATTGAGCATCGACCTATGAACCAGGTCATAGGTTTGATTCCTAGTCAGGGCACATACCCAGATTGCAGGCTCGATCCCCAGTGTGGGCCCATGCAGAAGGCAGCTTATCAATGATTTTCTCTCATCACTGATGTTTCTCTCTCTTCCCCTCCCTTCACTTCTGAAATATATAACAATATCTTAGCCCTAGCTGGTTTGGCTCTGGATAGAGCATCAGCCTGCGGACTGATAGGTCCCAGGTTCGATTCCTATCAAGAGTACATGCCCAGGTTGCGGGCTTGATCCCATTGTGGGGCATGCAGGAGGCAGCCGATCAATGATTCTCTCTCATCATTGATGTTTCTATCTCTCTTCTTCTCCCTTCAATAAAATCATATAAAATCAATAAAAACATATTTTTAAAAAAATCTACAAAAAGTAATCTGAACCAGGGCTGTTCGAATCCCCACACTATGCTATGAAGAAAGCCTTGAGGAAAAGGAGAGAAAAAGACCTCAGGCTGACCCTAGCTGATTTGGCTCGGTGGATAGAATGTGGACCTATGGGTTGAAGGGTCCCGGGTTCGATTCTGGTCAAGGGCACATGCCCGGGTTGTGGGCTCAATCCCCAGTGAGGGGCATGCAGGAGGCAGCAGATCAATGATTCTCTCTCATCATTGATGTTTCTATCTCTCCCTCTCCCTTCCTCTCTGAAATCAATAAAATTATTTTTAAAAAAATAAAAGACCTCAGGCTGTGGCTGACCACATTATCAGATTATGCTTTTTCCCCACCTTATACTTCTGCTTAGTGATCAGAAAGGGTCAGCACTCTATCACCTGGCTTAGAAGTTCATCCAGCAAAACTTGACTATCAATCAAAAAGTAAGTTTTCTATGAACCTAATATCCAATCTACAGATATTTTAACTAATTCTTTTCCTTGTACTACCTTTCAGTATTGGACTAAGAAAAGTTAGCCTTCTTTCTCTGGAATGGCGCTTACTGTTTAAAGTTGATCTTACCAGATGTTTGCAGCAGAAAATTCTCAACAGAAATAGGAATGCTGTATGAATTCGCAGCCTTAGATAGCGAGCCTCTTGCAGCAATTCTTGACCACGCTGCCAGCATGGCCTCACGAGCTGAAGTTATCACTTCCACTGTATTGGTCACTTCAACGGTATTGGCCACTTCAACTGTACTGGCCACTTCAACTGTATTGGCCACTTCAATTATACTGGTCATCTCAACCGTATGAGTCTCTTCCTCTCCTTTGCTCATCTGATGACTTTTCTTACTCCTTGATCTCTTGGTCAGTTTCCCCAAACATGACTGCAATGTGGCCTCCTCTGGTGTTTCAGCAACATTCTGCAAATGGCATTCATGATGAGTATTCCGTGAAGTGCTACTACCATAATGACTTCTATATCAATTTGATCATTCTTTATACATTTACCTAAGTGGGTCAGCATGGAGAAGGTTTAGGAATGTTAGCTCCCTTAGAGTAGTGGTTCTCAAATGGAAGAAATTGCTGATTGCTAAAACTGTGAGGGAGGAAGCGTTGCTACTAATGTCAAGTGGATAGAGGCCGGGAATGTTTAGTCTGCTAAACATCCTAAAATACACAGGACAGCCTCCAAACAAAAAGAACTTAGTTGGCTCAAAATGTCAATAGACTTGATTGAGAAATCTTGCCTTAGAGCAAGCAAGGTTGAGGAGAACCTTTTTTCGACCAAGGGTCATTTGAATATTTGTAACATCATTCACTTAATATAATTCACTTAATGTAAACTCATGTTGCTAAGAAACAAGCTCCTAGACAACCTGCAGTTGTCTTGGCATGGCCAGATGAAATGATATCGTGGGCCTTAGATGGCTGGACATTCCTCACCCCTACAACATAGAGGTACAAATTAGAGGTACAACATACTAGTATGTGGAGATGCTGGGAGAGGAGGAACAATTCACAGTCAGAACTCACCTTTACATTGTCTCCATGCTTCCTATTCACTCGCTTTTTTTCAAAATAAGCGTGTTCGCTAAGCCTCAGATAAACATCTATTTTCTAAGAAATTTAAGAAAGAGAGAAAAAGCAAAGTTGGCAAGACTTTGAATATTTTCTCTGAGTGGCAGAAATTCTCACCAATGTACTCACCCTACCATCGGTACTCAAATTCAGTTGTTGGCACCAGTTCTGCAAAGTGTCGTGACGCACTTTATTAAATGATGGCAAATTGGTCGGCAAGGGAAGGATTGGTTTTGGGCAATCTTTGAATTGTTCATTCATTTGAGGAAGATTAACTTTATCGTTTGTCCCAGGCACTGTCAGCTTGCTGTCTGAGGTTGAAGAAACACTTGGTTCCATTTGATGTTCATTATGCTCCTCGCTTATTGGAACCAATGTGAGTATCACATTTTCTTCTTCTAATTCATCCTTTTCGCTTCTTGAGTTTGCCATTTCCAGGAGCACTCAGAGGCTTATTTCTTACAACCCAATTTATACATATAGGTACTAAATATTTTTTCTCATATTACAAATAAGATAATAGATTCAAAAATAAAGGACTTGTCCAATACCACATATCCAATAAAATGACAGACTTGAGACTCAAATGTACATTTTGATATTCAAAATTCCATGTTTTTTTTTAATATTTTTAATTGATTTAAGAAACATCAATGATGAGAGGGAATCATTGATCAGCTGCCTTCTGCACGCCCCCTACTTGGGATGGAGCCCAAAACACAGGAATATGCCCTGACTAGGAATTGAACCATGACCTCCTGGTTCATAGGTAGGTGCTCAACCACTGAGCCACACTGGCCAGGCTCCATGCTTTTTTGTTGCTTTTTATGAAACTCAAATATCTTCTTTCTGCCAACAAATCTTACTCTCACCCCTACAACATAGAGGTACAAATTAGAGGTACAACATACTAGTATGTGGAGATGCTGGGAGAGGAGGAACAATTCACAGTCAGAACTCACCTTTACATTGTCTCCATGCTTCCTATTCACTCGCTTTTTTTCAAAATAAGCGTGTTCGCTAAGCCTCAGATAAACATCTATTTTCTAAGAAATTTAAGAAAGAGAGAAAAAGCAAAGTTGGCAAGACTTTGAATATTTTCTCTGAGTGGCAGAAATTCTCACCAATGTACTCACCCTACCATCGGTACTCAAATTCAGTTGTTGGCACCAGTTCTGCAAAGTGTCGTGACGCACTTTATTAAATGATGGCAAATTGGTCGGCAAGGGAAGGATTGGTTTTGGGCAATCTTTGAATTGTTCATTCATTTGAGGAAGATTAACTGAGAAAAGAAGAAAACCAAAGTAGTAATAATTTAAAATTTGTAAGATTCTTTATAATTTTACCAAGTTCTCACTTATTTCTTTTTTTTTTTAATATATTTTTATTGATTTTTTACAGAGAGGAAGGGAGAGAGATAGAGAGTTAGAAACATCGATGAGAGAGAAACATCGATATGGGATGGAGCCCAAAACACAGGAATATGCCCTGACTAGGAATTGAACCATGACCTCCTGGTTCATAGGTAGGTGCTCAACCACTGAGCCACACTGGCCAGGCTCCATGCTTTTTACACTAACATAGCAACCTGTTGTGTTTATGGCCATCAACACAAGCTGAATAGAACATTATATTGGATGGCTCCTCCAAAATGTCTAGATCTTGGACCAATAGTAATCCAAGAAAGCACCCCAACCAACAATGGTCATCCTGTTTTATTTTTCTTTACTCAATCTGCTTAACCATAATTTGTCATTATGTACTTCATCATCTGAAAATACATATTCAATGCCTTATATGAAGCACTAAGGAGATAAAGGGTTATATTAAGAGCTGCTAGATATTTGATCAGTAATTACTCGACCTAGCAAAATACTACATGTTTTTCAAAATGATTTTATCTTCCTAATACTCTATGATCTCACTTGTATATGGAATTTAAAAAAGCAGAACTCACTCATAGAAACAGAGGGTAGAGTGGTGGTTGCCTGGGGTTTGGAGGTGAGAAAAACAGGGAGATGTTGATCAAAGGGTATAATTTTTCAGTTATAAGATGAATACGTTTTGGAGATGAATGTACAGCATGGTGACTGTATTAACAATATTGTATTGTATGCTTAAAAGTTACTAAGATAGAAAATCTTGCCCTGGTCGGTGTGGCTCAGTTGGTTGGAGTGTCATCCTATATGTAGGTTCCTAGTCAAGGCACATATCCAGGTTTGGGTTGGATACAGGAGGCGATCGATTTCTTTCTTCCTCTTTCTTTTTTTCTTCTTCTCTCTCTCTATCTCTCTCTTTCTCCCTCCTCTCCTTCCTCCCTCCTCCCTCTCTCCCTAAAAGCAATAAAAACATCCTCAGCCCTAGCTGGTGTGGCTCTGTGGAGAAGAGTGTCAGCCTGTGGACCAAAAGGTCCCAGGTTTGTTTCCAGTCAAGGATACATGCCCAGGTTGTGGGCTCAATCCCCAATAAGGGCCGTGCAGAAAGCAGCGATCAAAGACTCTCTCTCATTGATGTTTCTATCTGTCCCTCTCCCTTTCACTCTAAAATTAATAAAAATACAACTAATTAATTAAAACATCCTCGAATGATGATTTAAAAAAGAGTAAATCTTAAATGAATGTGTTAATTAACCTTATTTTTATAATCATTTTACAGTATATATGTCTACCAATCATCACATTGTACACCTTAAAATTATAGTATTGTGTAAATATCTCAATAAAGCTAGAAAAAATTAGTCTTTATAAGAGGTATATAAAGTATGTAGTAACCAAAATGAAGAGAAGGGTGAGGGTCATGGGTTGGAAATTTGAACTTCTAGCCAGTTGCCCCATAAGACTATGCTCTGCCCAAAACACTCCACATGCTGATTTTTGTGTGTCTTAAAAGCAAGGCAGTACACAGTGCTTAGCAAATAACAAGCATGGGAGTTAGAGAAATCTCTTATTACAGGTAATTGAGGTGAGCTGGGCCTTGTATGGCCAAAGAATAGAAAAGAAAAATCCCTTTTTCCTGGGCTTTCCAGAGCTGGAGGAGCAGCACACTGAGCAATCCTTATCATCACACCTTTATCGTTTGTCCCAGGCGCTGTCAGCTTGCTGTCTGAGGTTGAAGAAACACTTGGTTCCATTTGATGTTCATTATGTTCCTCGCTTATTGGAACCAATGTGAGTATCACATTTTCTTCTTCTAATTCATCCTGAAAGAAATCCTGAAAAGCATCAGTTACTAATTTTCATTTGATGCATACAATTAAACTGCTTACTTTCAAATCACACTTAACGAATACAAAACTGAGAAGGTGATGGAAAAAAATTACCGAGATTTTCTTAAATATGATGTTATTAGCAGCCCTTTTACTAGATTTTTTTAAAAATGAGAAAATGGATAAAACCAGATTTACAAGTGAAAAAGAGGAAACGGAAAGACCCTACCCGGTTTTGCTCAGTGGATAGAGCTTTGGCCCGAGAAAGGGTTCTGGGTCTCATTAGGACCATGTGCTGGAGGCAACCAATTGCTGTGTCTCTCTTACATATCAATGTTTCTTTCTCTCTCCCCCTCCCTTCCACTCTCTAAAAATCAATGGAAAATATCCTCGGGTGAGGATGAACAAAAAAGAGGAAATTGAAGGGGTTTTCGGAAACCATTCCCCTTGTGGTCTTCCTTTCCAACAACTAAAACACTAAATACTTTCATTTTATCTCCGAAATCCATGTGAGATGTGTTGCTGCCTTCCCATCTTCCATCACATGATTTGCAACTCAAGCTATCATTAGCTCTCACTGGCAGATACAAAAGTCTTGTTATTAAAATCCCATTCTAACTCCTCTCTTTCTTTAGATTGCTCTCCTGCCTGCTTAAAATACTCCCATCGCTTATCATTGCTTTCTGAGTAAATGACAAAACTCTCTCATGTAGAAACTCTCTCATGTAGCATACACGACACATCCCTGAGCAGTGTAGCCCTGCCATTCCAGCTTGAAAACTTTCTGAGCTCCAGCCATATTGGCCTTATTTCAGCCCTGACCTGAGGAGAGAGCATGCATCTGTTTTCCTGCCTTTGCCATGACAGGAACTAACACAGTGCCCTGCACCGATTGGGCACTCAATGTTCTTCAATGATCTAATGACTGAAAGGTAAACTGGACGGGCAGGAAGTAACATTTACTGGTTTTGTAAACATGCACTATGCTAGATGCTTTCTGTATTTTCTTGTTTAATCTTTATAACATACTTGTAGTAATTTATTAGTTTTCCTATTTTACAAATTAGGCCACTAAGTCTCAGAAATTAAATGACCAATGCCACAGAGTAACACATGCTTCAGTAAATCTCTGACCTTAGCTTTTTCTCTCAAAACCATCCCAGCCCTAATGGAATACATTTTTCCCCACAGCAGCCTAGTGGCATCTGAAGCAGCCATCCTTTTTCCCTATTTAAATAATCTCAATGACTTCCTGTAGTTCTCAAACTCCTAGCTTGCATATAGGGATTTTACATTTGTATGCCGCTTTTCAAAGCACTTTCACACACATTTAAAAAAGCATTGACATTATTACTCCACTCTAAGGATAAATGGGGGCTCAAAGCAGCTCTATGACCTGCTTATAATCATATATTTAATGTTGGCCAATTCGTCTAGCCTGGTACAGCAGCCCTGAAAATACCCATGAAACCTCAATTATATCCTCTCCTCCAGTCCAGGGTGACCTAAGCCTGGTCTGGAAACCCATTTGATCCCAAGGCCACTGGGATTACATTACTTCTCACTCCTGGAAGAAATGAATTGGTCCCTTCATGTTTGTCCTTATCCATGTTAATCTTTCCCATGTTCTTGGTACAGCAGCTCTCCTTTTCCGTCTTTATCTTGTTGACCTACAACATGCCTTTCTGCAAAATAAATCTCTTACTTTGCTCTATGAAAAAGAATCTCTGCTTCTCCTTTCTACTCTCGCCCAAGTAGCCGCAATCACGTGAAAGAAAATAATTAACCACAAAGAATGTCCTTATACCCAGAAGTTAAGATTCATGCATGGCAAGAGCAAAACATAAGTGAGCTCCAGAAAGGCCTTAAAAAGTGAATCTGCGGGAAAATTAATTTTATTTGAACTAAACTTACCTTTTCGCTTCTTGTGTTTGCCATTTCCAGGAGGACTCAGGGGAAGGCAATGCCAGCCGTGTTGAGGACACGTGCGGTTTACTCCATTTAACCACAGGATTTCTAGCCTGATTTCTCTTTTTATAAGCAAATGTCTCCTTCTACTTCCTGTTTCTCAAGAGCTCTTTTCTTTCTCTTCCCAAGCCCCGCCCTCCCACCATTATCTGACCCGAGGATGTTTTTATCAGTTTTATGCCTTATCTTACCTTACTAGGTGATCTTGGAATTATTGGGTAATTAATAGCATTCAGGAATTTTTAAAAAGAGAGATTTTTATTTTTAAGAAATAAAGACTTGGGGTGAAACTGGAAAAATTCTTAAAGACAAGTTACAATTGACCAGAGTAGTTTCAAATATTTCTCAGAGAATAGCAGTGATGGATTGAATGAGGTTATTATGGAACGAATAAAAAAAGATTCAGAGGTATTTTGTAATTGATTTATGCCCAGGGGTGTGTCACTCACTGAGAGATTAGATTTGAATTGTAGGGTTTGAAAAAGATAATCCCTTCTGGATTTAGTTCTAGATGTAAATATTAAGCTTGTAATACTGGGGAGCTGGGTAGAAGAAAGGGTTTGGCTGTTTAGAAGAGGAGCAGCAAGAGCCAAAATATTAAGGCAAGTGATGGACTAGTGAATACTGAAGGAACTGCAAGCACATGGGAATCACTGGAGCATAATGTTGGAGGCAGATGTGCCAAGAGGTGACCCTGAAGAAGCCACTCCAAGGAGTCAGAGCCACTAAAGAAATTATTAGCAAACATGGCAGCTTTGTCATGCAGGGGACTCACGGGGCGTTTTCTCTGCCCTGGAAAGTGGTTCAGTCCATTAGTCTCAGGACCCATGGAGCCCAGATCAGTTTAATTTAGTTTATATGCACTAAATTCAAAATGTGCTGCAAGGGCTCGGTTTCAGTTTACTGGAGAAATGATTGAAAAAATAAATTATGAGACCACACCCCAGCCTGCAAGGTAAAGAATTACTTAAAGAAAAGTCACTTAAAAGTCTGGAAGCATAGTCTAGATCAGGGTGTGACCAACGGTTTTGGACTAGGCAGATAATGGTTGGAATCCTGACTCCTTTCTTTCAGATTAGAAACTGAATCAACCCATGGAAATTCAAGCAGAAAAGCACTCCACCTATCCACTGGAGGAGGGGGCGAGGGGGGGAGGAGGAGGGAGGGCGGCCTGGTGGGCTTTACCTCAGTAATTTAGAGAGGAACTGACCTGGTAGCCTGAACTTATCTCAGTGCCTTAAGCTAGTCAGAACTTCAAGTGGGAAAACTATTTTATTACCACTTTTTTTTTTCTTAGCATTTATTACAACATAATTATCTGATTTGTTTTCTTGAGGTTTGTGTGTTGGTTTTGGGGATTTGTTTTTCTTTTTGAAAATATTATATTATGGAAAAGTTCAGACACGTACAAAGCAGACCCTCTGTATCCATCATCCAGCATCAACAACTATTGAGTTCTAGCCAATCTCATTTCATCTCAACCATGAAAGGAACTACCAGACCTCGTATCATTTTATTTGTCAATTTGGGGCAGGAGACTTTTTCTACATAGAATTATTGTTAGGCCCACGGGGCAATACAATCCTTAATGGCCATTTGCAAGCTTCCCACCACAGAACCAAAAAACCAGGTAAAACTTGCTGGACACCAGGAATCAGGCCATACAAGGAATGGAAACTGTCCTGAAGGCACCTGACTACACACCTGCATTCCATCCGCATTCCAAACAGCCTCGCCCCCAAACCCAACTGACCACCAGTTTCCCCCCAGTGACTGCATAGAAGGATGAAGCTCCAGTTCCTGGGGGCTGCCATCGTTGACCTAATGTCCCCTTGGCTAGGTGCTGTGCAGCCCTTCCCTTTAGATATCCCATCCCCCGCCTCCTTTCCCCACATAACTTCCATTTTCTTTAATCACCATCTGAAATGGCTAGTTAGCCTACCTGGGTGTGTTAACCCACCACAATGCTAACGCACCATGTTCACCTTGCAATTACAATATCTTTTTTATAGCTAAAAATAATGTTATATTTGCCCTACCCAATTTGGCTCAGTGGACAGAGTATTGGTCTGTGGACTGAAGGGTCTGGGTTCGATTCTGATCACAGGCGTATACCTCAGTTGCAGGCTCCTTCTCAGCCCGGGTCCTGGTCAGAGCTCATTCCGGAGGCAGCTAATAGATGTGTTTCTCTCACATGGATATTTATCTCTGTCTTTTCCCTCTCTCCTACTCTCTCAAAAAATCAATGGAAAAATATACTCAGGTAAGGATTAAAAAAATAAATAAATAAATAAAAATAAATAATTTGCCGAAACCGGAACTACACTACAGTATAAAATACTTATTCTAATTATGCAAGACTCCTTTCTCCTGTTTAGAGAGAGCAGAAAGGAGGTAGAAGGGGAAGGGGGGAAGGAGAGAGAGAGAAAGAGAAACACTGATGTGAGAGAGACACATTGATCAGTTGCCACCTGAATGTGCTCCGACTGGGTCAGAGATTGAACCTGCAAACCAGGTATGTGCCCTTGACCAGAGATTGAACCTGAGACCTTTCAGTGCATGGGCCAATGCTCTAACCATTGAACTCACTGACCAGTGCAATATCTAAAAATAATTTTAAATAATTATTTAATATTATCAAAACATCCAGGTTGACAAATATCCAGCAGTATTATAGAAAAGTAAGAAGCTAGGAAAATTTCAGGACAAGTGGAATGGGGAAGCTGAGAAATATTAAATGCAGTTTGTATCCATCAAGTAAATCCTATCTTCCCTAAACCAAGGACACAAGAGTAAATGGTTTGCACTCTCCTCCCCAACCAGAGGGTAAATAGCTTAAATCGCCCTACTCAGGGAGACAGATAACAAAAATCCAATTAAGTCTCATTTGCCAACCACACCCAAGGACAAATTAAAAGAATAAATCTCGTTTTGGTATATCAGCATATAGCTAATGAATATTCTATTGGTTCTATCCCAAGAACTCGCCTAAATGCCCAGCCTTTAGAAGCCCTGAAAATGAAGATCCCAGGGACTTTCTATACTGTGACTGAATGCTGGCTATTCAGGTTTGCTACAGCTTCTTCCTGTCTTCCTCATCCCACCCAACCCCCTTTTGAGTAGAAGTCCCTATCAGCGCTGCTGCTAGAGGAGTGGTGTAAACACTGATCACAGATTCACGTGACTCTCTTACCAGTCCATGACACTCTTTTGAGTTAGCAAAGTCATCTTCATTCTCTTCATTCTCAGCATAGCGCCTGGATGATAAGGCTCTTAATTAGGTGCAAGAAATTTCTCTAGGTTGTATTACACAAACTTACGTTTGGGGCTTCAGTATATACCTAAAAGCTCAAAAGCAGGATGTAAAGCTATTTTTAAAAAAATAACCTAGGTCTGGCCGGTGTGACTTGGTGGTTGAGCAACAACCCATAATCCAGGAGGTCATGGTTAGATTCCCAGTCAGAGTACATGCCTGGGTTGTGGTCTCAATCCCTAGTGTGGGGCATGCAGGAGGCAGCAGATCAATGATTATCCCCCATCATTGATGTTTCTGTCTCTCTCTCTTCCTCTCCCTTCTTCTCTGAAGTCAATAAAAATATATTTAAAATAATAATAATCTAGGCTGTAGGGTAGATATCTTAAAAATAAAGAAAAATTGTTTATGAATACTTGCATTTTAATATTTATTTCAATAACAGGGTTCTGAAAGAAAAATGCATTACTTATTTCAAATATTTGTGCATGTATTGTATTTTCAAAATCCTTTTTAAAAAATAGCCAAAACCGGTTTGGCTCAGTGGACAGAGTGTCGGCCTGCAGACTGAAGGGTCCCAGGTTCGATTCCAGTCAAGGGCATGTACCTGGGTTGCAGGCACATCCCCAGTGGGAAATGTGCAGGAGGCAGCTAATCGATGTTTCTCTCTCATCGATGTTTCTAACTCTCTATCTCTCTCCCTTACTCTCTGTAAAAAATCAATAAAATTTTTAAAAAATAAAATAAAATAAATAAAAAATAATTAGGGGAACATATTCTAAAGGGTAAATGTTTATGGAGCACCAATACATAACAGGTCAAAGTGAAATGACTCTAGCTGGGAAATAAAACTTGTAAGACATCTGCAGAGACCTAGGGTTCTGAGAAACAGTTTGGCAACGATGATTCAGTCTCACTTCCAAATGGAAGGGACCGCTACTGAGTTCTTCAGTTTTCTGGGGAGCAAAATGAAATTGCACTGAAAGGTGTTCCCAACTTTGGCCGCATTCTTCATTTCAAGAAATTCCCACTTAAAAGGACTATTGAACTCATTTCTACTTTAGAGCAATAGTTACAAATCTTAACCTTCTGACTGAGAATAAATGGGCATTTTTGCTTTTTGTTTTTTTTCTTTTGAAGAAAAAAAAAACTTCTGAATCATGGAACAACAGTGTTTTGCTTTGTCTATTGTTTCAAGGGGAAGCAAAAGTTATGCTCAGACACTGAATTGTCTTTGCTAGCAATTTACTAGTATTTAGCCCAGGTTCTCTGTGGAAATTACAATTTAGACACGCATTTAATATGAGGTGTGTCTTTTTATGCTAGAAGGCACTTCGGAGAGATGGCATCCAGGTTAGAGCTGGCTTTCCAGCTGCCAGCACAAAAGTAAAAGTTCCCTGTTGCTAGAGCACATTGCTGGGGAATGAAGACTTCAGTATAATAGGCAGGCTGATGTCTTTCACCTGGATTCTGGGGTGGTTTATTACCCACTACCATCTATGTGAAATGAGAGGTGCCCAAAGAGCCTTTGGAGAGTTTTTAGGTTAGGGAAGAGTCATTTTGTCCAAATCTAAACTCTCAGATAGTCCTCATAAATTCTAAACATTCCGTCTAAATGTCCCCTTGCCAGAGTTGCTTCTTCACTTGTATTTATCCAGTAGAGGCCTGGTGCATGAAATTCGTGCACTTGGGACGGGGGGAGAAGTCCCTCAGCCTGGATTGCAAGAGGGTGCAGGCCAGGCCGAGGGACCCCACTGGTACACAATCAGGGCCGGGGAGGGGTGTGGGAGGTTGGCCAGCTGGGGAGGGACCACAGGAGGGCTGCAGGGCATGCCTGGCCTGTCTTGCTCAGTCTGGATCGGCTGGACCCCAGCAGTAAGCTAACCTACCGGTTGGAGCATCTGCCCCCTGGTGGTCAGTGCACATGATGGTGAGCGGTTGAGCGGCCTTAGTATATCATTAGCATATTACGCTTTAATTGGTTGAACAGCTGACCGGCCTACTGGATACTTAGTTTATTAGGCTATTATTTTATAGCATAAACCCCTTTAGCTGTTAGGCTGCTGACTGCTTATCAATGCCAACAAATGAAGAATGAAGATGTCTATACTTGCGTCAAAACTTCGCTTCTAAAGAAAAATGAGTTTTGCCCTGGCCATTCTGCCTCAGTGGATAGAGCATTGGCCAATGGACTGAAGGGTCCTGGGTTCAATTCCAGTCAAGGGCATGTACCTTTGTTGCAGGTTTGGTTGCAATGCCTGTAGAAGACAACCAATAGACACATTGATGTTTCTGTCTCTCCTCTCTCTAAAAATCAATGGAACAATAACCTTGGGCAAGGATTAACAAAAAAATAAAAATAAAAAATAAGTTTTTGCCTTATCTGGTTTGGTTCATTGGGTAGAGCATCAGCTCGTGGACTGAAGGGTCGTGGGTTCGATTATGGTCAAGGGCATATGCCTCGCCATCCTGCAGGAGGCAATTAGTTGATGTCTCTCTTTCACATCCACGTTTTCCCTTCTGTCTCTCCCCTTCCCTTCCACTTTCATCTTTCCCCCTTCTACTCTTTCTAAAAATCAATGGAAAAATACCTTTGGGTGAGGATTAACAACAACAAAAATTTCCCTTCTTTCCTCTCCTTTCCACCTCTGTTCTCTAGGGTTGAGGGATCTTTGAAGATGTGGTCACTTCCACTTTTGCTTCCGGTTAGTGAGTTCAGACTTTCTACATGCAGGTTCCTTTGCCTCAGTCAGCAATGTCTTGGCAGGACTTTGGACTCCAGAGCTGTTACTTCAGCACCAACTCTTAGTCTTTTATGGCTCTTTGGAGCCAAGGAAAATTTGGAGGGCTGGCCCGATTTCTATTGCACTCATATTACACACACACACACACACACACACACAACACACATGTGCTTATGGGCAGACATATTTTTGTGGCTGTTAATTTTAATTTCCAAATGGGAAAAATGCCCCCCCCGCCCTCCCCTCACCCCCCGCATCAAGACCATACCACAAGGCCCCTTTGCCATGGAGTTATAAATTATATATCTTAAATTTGTCTATTTCTTGAAATATTCTAAGAGCTTGGGACAGAGACAATGAAGGGGGGATAGTTAAAACTTTATAGTAATTTTGGGGAGGTTTGTGAATTTTATGGAGGATTGGGGAATGTGACTAGATTTTATTCTGCCAGGGGCAGTAAGGAGGGGTAACTAAACAATCTTAGTGATAGGATTTATGCAAAGAGAATTTTAAGTTTATTTTAGTGGGTTAGGGACAAGGAACTGTCTATAAACAGAACTGGAAAGCAAAGTAAAATTCCCAAATTAATAAAGAGAGGAAGGAAATAAAATAGAAACTTGAGCAATCCAATGTAAAAAGGGAAAAGTTAAAAAACAAACAAAATAATATACATATACTAATAAGAAATAAAGTGTATATTATTTATTACACTGAAACAAAATCATGCCTTTTGGCTTAATCCTACCGAGTTAAGAACATTAACAATAATTTGCACACAACAAAGTTCCCGAAGCAGCAGATGAATTACTTTACATATGGAATTTAAGCATACTAGATATTTATGACTCAGAAGTAACCTTGGACATATTTAAAAAGCAAAAATATACAAACCAGTTACAACTGGAAATGATACTGGCCCGAGTGCCCGTGTTTTCATCCCAGAGACACACTACAGAAATCCCAAGTTAAGACAACTTTGCAAAATGTTTTGAATATTAAGAATGTTTTTTGTGGGAGCGGATACAATAACAGCTTTTCCTCTGGCTTAAGGGAGTCAGCAGTTTGAAGTGAATACACTTAGAATTGGGAGGTGGAAATCCCTAGAGGAGTCAGAATTCTGAGGCAGGAGGACAGCCTATAAAGCAAATGAAATGATCGTCATCTTTATTTTTTTTTTTTTTGATCGTCATCTTTAAAAATCCAAACAAGAAATGTCAAGAAACCCAGTGCTGGAATGCCAGTAAAACTTGTCCTTAAACTTTAGGATAGGGGTGGGAAGCACATGGCCAGGTCCCCTAGGAATGGCAACTTCAGCCATGTTATGTCTCTATCACTTTCTTGTTCTGTGCAGCCTTGGGCAGAAGAAGCCCCCTGAGGGATTGTTTTTACCATTTCCCATGGTCCCAGTATGTCAGTAAAGCTATCCAACATGAATGACCTCAATTGTATTTAACTTCATTGGCATAGAATTGTGGCAGGAAGCAGGACAGCCAGAAGGGGAAAAGGCAAGCGTCCACTCCCTGTGCCAGGTCCCAGGGGCTGCCACTCCTAGATGGTGAAGGGGGAGTCTGGCCTGAGACGCCCCCCCCTACCCCCCCTTCAGACTGCTATCCTCTACCAGCTGTGCTGGATCTCTGGTGTTCAGTAACCATGACACCAAAGGTGGGGAGGCACAGATCCTTAGGAGCCATGACTGGGCTGCACCAGAGGGATTCTTTTCTCTCCATCTTCCCTGTCCCTGATGAAAATTCCCTGTAAGCATCCCATTACTCCACTTCTCCATTTGTACTTTCAGAAAACATCTCCAATTGCAGTCTCTACTTCTTTCCTTCCCTGATTCAACCAACACCAAATTTTCTATATTCTTTACTGCTTTGAATCTCTTATATCATCTAAACAAGTACATTATGTGTACCTTCTTCAAGCTTCCCTTGGAATTAGGAAAGTTTCCTCAGGCACTCTCCCCATTAACTTCATATTCCAGCTTTTCTCGTTTCTTTTCTGCCTCCTTTAACATGTTCCCCTAATACTGCTGTTCCTTGAGCACTATCTTGAGCTCCACTGCAACTATTACCTTTAGCAATATCTAAACAACCATCAGATAATTATCTAGAAGATTTTTTTTTGGCACCTATAGGAAGTGACAGGCC